GCTGTGGGAGCTTATCTGTCATCAGTTGAAATAAGAACTGTGCATGCTGCAGCTTGTAGTTCATGGAACATCTGGGCTGTGGCTGTATCCCCAGTCACTCAGAGGGTTGTAGGAGAGTTTTATACTGCTAGTTTTTGTCAGCATCCTGCAGTGAACGGGGCTCCATGGCATTTGATATGTCTCAGATATCACCTGATATCTAAGGAGTTGCTTTGGAGGCCGTGTTGGTCTCAGTACCACAGCACACAATTCACACTTCCGGGCTTAAAAATGAAGTTCCTTCATTTCCAACTGACAGAAATTAATATGGGACAATTAAAATGCATTTTCATTGGGGAAGAACCTGACCTATGGTTTTTTAGCCTGGTTTATGAAGAGATGTCTACAGATCTTCAAACAAAGATCTTTGCTCTTCTCTGAGTATTAACTGAGAAGAACAAGGGTGAAAAATTACATTTCCATAGTGTGAGCTATGGATCTAGCAGTACCAGCTTAGCATCTCATTCCTGGAATCAGAGGACTTGACTCCCTGACGTCAGGCGAATGATTAACACCATCAGCCTATAGCTCAGATCTGCAATCTCTCCAGCTGCCAAGATCACTGATAGGCAACCTGCAGAGGCTCTAGCCTCCCTTCTGAGCTTAATCTTCCTCACAAGACATTACCAGTAGGACTAGGTCTCTGGCAAAGCGCGCTGGTGGGACTCCACTATCTTGAGTGATCCACAAAACACCGTGGGTTCCCAATAAAGGGCATGGGAACTGCACAAATGAGGCGAAGCAGGCACCATGACTTGGTCTTGCATCCAGCCAACTCTCTGTGCAGAAGCTGAAGTAAGATGACTCAAATAGCAGCACTGAAATTCAGTTCCACAGCAGTTCCCACACGAGCAAAATTTAGTAAAGGAGATGCTTCTAGGATGAACCTTTTCTTACAGCTGCTGTAACTGGGAGAGTATATCCCAAAATGTTCCCTGCATGGGTCTTCCCCATCTTCCTCACAGTATTTACTCACTTGTTGATATTTTGATTTTTTTCCTTTCCCTTCATTCTCCTAAAAATGTTTTACCATATTTATCCCACTGGCCATATTTGTCATTGTAGAACTAAAACATTTCTCGTATCTACCTAAAAAAAGGAAAGAAGGAAAGACAACGGAAAAATCAAAAATATTAGGAAAAAATTAAGAATTCTCAGCCTAAAACTGAAGTTATTTAATATGTTTTTATGGATTTTTTTTTGCTTTCATATTTTTTTCCTCTTATCATTAGATCCAGCAGAATTGATCTGAGTGCATTGCAAGTGAAAATGTTTCCAACATATAGATTTTATTTGCAGATAGTTCTTGAGGACACTGTTTCTGTCTAGTTGTAAAACAGTAAGCAAGAGCCACCAAAAGTGAATAAAAAACTGTTCTTCTACTTTTCAGACACTTGGAGGTCAAATAAAAGTCTGAAGATATTGCTGAGCATTAACCTACATGATAGTTGTGGGGGAAAGGGGAAATTCTGGACTTTTCAGAATTCTGAAGTAGAGCTTTGTGGAATTTTAAATTTCTGAATTTTTATTTTTTTCTGAGTTTCCTTTTTTGAGTTTTTCTCTTTTCCCTCAGTTTTTGTTGCCCTTTAAAATTTTTTTTGAATGAGTTTTTTTTTTTCTTTTCAAGATATAAGATGCTAGAGGAAATCCCTAATGCCAGTTTCTGTTTGTTTTAGTAAAAATCAACTTACATAACAAAACGGCAACTTTCACAAAGCCCACTGCTCTCAGGGGAACTTGCTGCAAAGGCATCACACCAGAAGTGAGTGGAGAGATGGAGGGGTCACAGCGGTTTGGAGAGAGAAGGCAACCAAGCAGACTCACTACAAATCCTGGAATGCCATGAAAAGGACCTATGATTCCATACCTACTTGGGAGGTTATCCAAGAGCACAGGATAATCCATGGGGAGGTGTGAGCTGCTCTCTTTCCTGGGGTTCTTGTGGCATAGCTACATAGAGAAAGCGAGAGATGTGGTATTGCAGGGGCCGGACTCAGATTTTAATTGCTGGTCGTCTTTCCTAATTGCTCTGTGTAACTTGGTCTTCAGTGAGCTACTCTCTGGTTGTATAAGCATGGGCATCTGACATGCTATATTGTGCGTGGTGCACTGCTCCCTTGAAAGAAAAAGGGAAAGTCTGGGCAGCAGAGGGTGCTGTGAAAGCACTCGAGAGATGAAAGAACCTCCTGGATCCTCAAGGTTGTGTTTCTGAACTTTTAAAAAAGTTGTGCACCTCCCCTCGAGTACGAGGTGTAGTCACATAGAACTCTATCGGACCCCAGCAGGCTTGTTGCCTTTACGTCCAGAGCACGACCCTCTGTGGCTGCAGGTGAGACAACTGATGGAGAGCAACAGAACATGGTCTTCCCCTCTGTGAACCGGTTCTTCTTTGGCCGTGTTTGACATAGTGTGGAGGAGCTCAGAAGCACTGAACCCAAGGACAGAAGCACTGTGGTGATGGAGCCCTCTCTGCTGGAAGGATGGGGAAATACCAGCTCTGCTTGGGATCAGCCCTTCCACAATTCATATTACTAGCTGTAACGCCACTGAATGTGTTTATGCTGCTTTGGCTGGGTTAGACATGTTCTCTTTGCATTCATTCCAGTGCCCTGGTAAGTTATCCCCAAATTTCCACACTATTAGTCGTCATGGGATGTGAACAAGTGTTCATTCTCCAGGCTCCCACGTGGTGGACTCAGGTTTCACTTAGAAGCCAAGTTCTGCAGAGGGGCAGGACATGTTTCTGATCTGAGCAAGAAGATTTCTCTTATCTCTAATGATCAGGAACCTGCATAGAAGCCTTAATTTGCTCCAGTATTTCTGATCCAAAACTGTCTTCTGCTGCAAGAGAATTTCTAGTTCTACAGAGAAAAGGAGTTTGAAGCTTCATGTGCAGGGAAGTATGCAGTTCTGCTCTTCTTACAGCAGCACAAAATATGAGCATTATGTGCTGAGAAGCTCTAAGAAGTCCTCATTTATGGTCTGGTCCTTCAGCAACCTTCAGTCGCTGCAAAGCTGGCCCTGAAGTGAGCAGAGAGTTGGACAAGAGACCTGGAGTTGTTCAAATACCTTAAAGATTAGGAAAGCAAGTGTCATCTTCTGTCTTGCTGGACAGCTTGCTGCTAAGTTTTCGCTGTGTGGAAGAAATAGGCGGGGGCTGAAGAGACAATTTCTTTTCACAGAGGGAAGAAACGGGCATCTCAGTTTCGCCAGATTTTAGCTGATGTTGCACTGCCATTTTATTGGGTTCAGAGCAAGGGATACCCAAAAGTTTTGGTGATTTCAAGGACACATTACCAAACTGAGAGCCCCAGGACCCTGGAGACTGGACAGGGAAGCACGTGGAAATACCAACCCATGCAAGGCGACCTTCCCTTCATCCTGACCTAACTTCTAGAGATTGCTGTAGATGTGCCTGTCCATCCTCTACAGGGATGTATGCCTTGGGGCTGTGAGGAGCAGGGGACAAGCTTTCCCTCTGGGTGCACCCTGGAGCCCTTAGCCCCATCCATCTGAACCCTGGGGCCCTCAGACGCCATCACCTGGTGACTTGATAGGACCTGAGTTACAATAAAGCTGCTCACTCATGGTCCAGAAGTGAGCACCACTTTATGTCCCTTTTCCTCCCTTTCAGATCCTCCATGGCAGCAGCTTTTAGGCCTCTTAGATATGCCATTAATACCATTTGTGTTCCCATGTGGTGGCCCTGATGATGTGCTGCTCGCATTTCCTGCTCCCTTCCTACAGCCTGGGGGCAGCCACGGTGTTCACTTCCCAGGAGAGGGCAGTGCTTTGCCTCTCACAGGAAGGACTCTGGTAGGAGCAGGAGGCTTTCAGGTTGATTCACAACTTAAGTACCAAGCACTTTTCTGTATCCAGGTGCAACCAGGAGCATCATTTCAAGGCAAGCTCAGGTTTTCCAGGAGCTGGAGAAGATGTGCATTGCCAGCCCTCATCTGGCCTCCTACTTCCCTGTCCTATCTCCTTGGGATCCTTTAGTCTGTGGGTGGTATGCTGTGCCTAACGCAGGGAAGGGGCTTGCAGTGGTAGGAACTGCTGTGTGGGCTCAGGGCAAGGGTCTGTCAGTTTGGAGCACCTGCCTAAACCTTCTGAAATGAGGCCACAGGACCTAAGCTGGTTACAGGGGAAGTGTCTTCTTAACCTCATCCCCTGCAGCTTTCCACTAAACCCGAAGTAACCCCGTTATGGATTTAACATTGCTGAAGAACCAATATGCCATCGACTGATGAAAACTGTATACAAAAAACTAAAAAAAAAATAAGGAAGTCATGTTCTCCCTGTCTCTTCCTTGCCAGCATTAATGAATTTCTGGCAGGGAAAATAGACTGCACATGGCCACAACTGGCTGAGCAGTCATTGGCCTTGAACAGGAACTCTGCAGGACATCACGCTGGGTGGCCAATGCCTCTGCAAGGATGGGGTATCGAGGCCGGGGTATACCAGTGGAAAAGGAGAGAGAGAAGATTCATATACTGGCACCAAATACTCAGTGCACTTTGAAAGTGCCCTGTCTGCCACTTCCAATGTCCCAGAGGGTTAGATGTGAGATGAGTGCCTGGAAGGGTGCTTGTAATATCAAGAGATGGGTGTCCGGGAAGCAATTGCAGCCACCTAGCCTGCAGTAATGGGGTGTAAGTGCAACTGTAGTGGTGCCTACCAAGGACGGATGGAAAGGGTCAGACCGTGGTGGTAATGCATAAGCTGTTGAAAAATGCCCCTTCCTCCCCATAAAAAAAGAAATCACTGCACACCAGAAAGAAGCAAGAGAGATAAAACAGGAGCGACAGACAAATATTAAAAGTTTTAAATACACAAGGCCAGACTGGTAGGAGAGGCTCAAGGGAAGAAAAAAAGCAGAGTGATAGTCCTCAGACAAAACCAGTTGTCCCACGGGGATGGGAATGAGTGGCTCCTTCATCACAGAGCAAAACATGGAGGTTTCATTGACTTTTCTGCATCAGATCAACAATCTTCCTGTAGAGGCGCTGAGGGGCATCCAGACCCCAGATATGATCCCAGTGGTTCCAGTCAGGGAAGTGCTCATGGTGTATGAGGTTACGAATGCGAGGGAGCAAGCGTTTCGTCTCCGAAGTAGGGGTAGCCCAATCCTGCCCACCACTCCACACGGCTGTTGGCACAGTCATGTCTTCTATCCTGTAAAAAGGAGGTGAGGGCTGCGAAAAAAAAAGAAAAAAGAAAAATAATGAAGTATTATCTGGTGTCATGAGAGCTGCTGAAAGCCTCTCCCTCTCTCAGGATAGCTGAGGAAGCCACCACAGAGTATTCACATCCTGGGACATATCTTTAGAAACCTGAGCAAGTGACACGTGGCATATGAGTCCTGCAAGATCCCCTTGGGACTCTTTCAGAACGTTTTAGCCACTGAGAGAACAAGTATGCTGAATTCGCAGGTGCATAATGCATAGCGTGCCTTCATCCCAATCTGCCCTCTTCTCCCATCTTCACTACCTCATTCACCCTGACAAGTCCCCAGCCCACCTGGTGGTATTTCTCCTGGTTCTTCTCCCCGTAGTCAAACTGCTTGAACTCCCCTGTCTTGGCAGTCTGCAAAACATAGGCAAAGAATTAACGCCATGAGGGTGGCCTGGTGCCTGTCGGCGCCTATCTCTTGGGTGTCTATGGGGAAATTAGTCCTATTAGGTCTTTTCTGAACGGCCAGTTCTGCACAGCTCATCAGAGGTCGCAATGGCAGCATGACCGTGTCTGGCAATAGCTGACCTGCTGGTTGTGGAGGTGGTGGACGATGGACCTGAGCAATTTCTAATCAACAGGAAAGGTGAAGTGCATTCTATCTCCCACTCTCAAGCCACCCGCCATGACCATTCAGACCCTTCTGGTTCTAGACTAGAATTTAAATCAACTTGATGACCTTATTCTCTCAAGGAAGGGATGATGCAAGGAGGATTTATCCATGTGGACTTGACTTAACTTCTGTCAGTCTAGAATCATGCTCCTGGCTTATTACCAACCATTACTTCCAAATTATGGTCTTACTGATGTGTTCTTTCCTTAA